TGTGTCTCTGATATCGTCTAGAAACCTAAGATATGGAATAAATACGTATACTACAGTCGATAAACGAATATGAAAATTTGTAATTATTTACTAAACATTATTATCTACTGCTAATTTATCGTAACTAGCCACTATAGATAGGAAATCTCGATTAAAATAGTTATCTTCTCAGATCGTTTTATTCCATTTCGTTTTCAATCATTCCTCGCGTTTCGTTCCACCTACTTTCAATCCATTCCGTTCCTGTGAGCAAAACACGTTTCGTTCCGTTCTATTCGCGTTTCGTTCCAAACAGTGAAATTATTTTCGTTCCGTTCCGTTTAGGCCTTGTTTCATTCCGTTTTCATTTCGTTCTCGTTGCGTTTTCATTCCATTCCGTTTGTCAACTGAAACGCTGACACCCCTGTATAAAGTCGGCATCAGTTCCGCGCTATCACAAGTCGACAAACACAAACATATCGCAGCCTCCCAAAACACGCATACATCTTGCACACAGGGGAGACCGTCCTTAAATGACCATAGCTGTTGATAGGACGTTAAACAATACTTAACAAAACAAAACCAAATCGGCTCAATTCGTTGAAGAAACCAGCCATATATATTAGTATATGATTTTATGCGTTTTTGTTCTTCAGAAGAGGATGTTTGAAGTGTCTGACATATATGTCCATGTTACCTTGCAAGTAGCTCAAGGTCATTTTCCTTTTTCAAATTTTGTTGACTCTATCCCAAACAGCTAACAGCCAAATCTTACGAATCCATGCGTTTTAGTTCTTCAGAACAAGTCGTTTGAAGTAGTGTTGACCTCTATGACATTTAAAGTAGGTTGAGGTCCTTTTCATTCGCTTACTTTGGTGAGCTCTATCCCAAGAAGCCACCAGTCAAATATTATGATTCATGCCTTTCGTTTCTTCAGAAGTCATTTGATGTTCTTGATATATTTGACCCCCGTGACCTTGAAAGTAGGTCACGGTCATTTTTTTCGCAAACTTCGTCGACCTCAATCCAAAGAAGATACCAGCCAAATATTAAAATGCTATACCTTTCATTTCTTCAGTAGAAGTCGTTTGAAGCGTTTGACATTCATAACTCCTGTGACATTGAAAGAAGGTAAAAGCCATTTATGTTCTCGAACTTTGTCAGGCTCTTATGAATGAAGCTTTCAGCCAACAATCATGACTCTAGGCCTGTTTATTATTCAGAAGAAGTTTTTTGAATTGCTGTTTGTAAACCCTGTGACCTTGAAAGTAGGTCGAACCCATTTTCGTTTTCAAACTTTGTCTGGCTCCACCAACAGACGCTATTAGCCAAATATGAAGATTATTTACCTTTCAGATCTTCAGGAGAAGTCCTTTGAAACTTTTGACACATTTTACCACTGTGACTTGGAAAGTAGGTCAGGGTCATCTTAATTCTCAAAAGGAGAAGTTGACGGACGACGACGGATGCCGTTCCATGACATTGCCCTTCGGGCAGGTGAGCTAACAAAAGGCCCAGATGACCTGTATTGCTCACCTGGATATGTTTTAAGTACTGGATAAGAGGTAAACATAAAGCACTCCATGGTAGGTACTGTATGTATATAGGAAATTTCAGAAACACCGATTCAGTATTTCTGTAGATATAGCGAATGTCAAAATCCAAGATTGCGGCCATCCTGCTTTAATGAATACACCATAATAGTAACAGCACTGCTAGACAACTTGATGGAGACAAAATTGCGATAAAATCCCGTAAACCCTCTGGTAGAAGAAGGATTTCAAAGGTTTTATCTCCATTGGACCCCACCCCACCCCCTTTGTCCTCTGAGTGGCCACCCCCACCGATTATACGAAATTGAGCTCCCTTGGTCCATGGTTTCTTCAGACTAAATTAGGATAACATTCCTTTCTCCAAACAGTAGAAGAAGGTTTTAAAAGTTTTACCTGTATTTCCCCTATTGGGCCACTTTCATCTGCGCCTTCAGGTTACACCCACAATTTATACAAAATTGAATCCCCTTGGCCTAAGGATGCTCCAGACCAAATTGGAATGAAATCCCTTAATCCCTATGGTAGAAGAAATATTTTAAAGGTTTACCTCTATTTCCCCTTTCTGGCCTAACGATAACCCTGACCGAATGAAGATGGAATTTCTTATTCCCTCGGGCATACCCACCGTTTATTCAAAATTGAGTCAACTTGGACTAAGGATGCCCCAGACTACATCAGGATACAATCCCTTCATCCCTATGGTAGGAGACGGATTTTGAAGGTTTGACCTCTATTTCCCCTATCGGGCACCGCTCTTCTGCCCTAAGGGGGCCACATCCACCGTTTATACAAAATTGAGTGACCTTTGCCTAAGGATGTTCCAGACCAAATTGGGATGAAATCTCTTAGTCTCTATTAAAGAAAAAGAACTTAAAAGGTTAACCTATATATCCCCTATCCGGACCCATCTCTCTGCCCCAAGTGGGGCCACACCTACCGTTATACAAAATTGAGTTCCCTTGAACCAAAGATGCACCAGACTAAACAAGGATAAAATCCCTTAATCCCTATAGTAGAAGAAGGATTAAAAAGGTTTCACCTCTATTTTCCTTACGAGTAAATTCCACTTAACCGTTCAGGACGGACGGACGCTGAATTATTACATATTATTTTTCATCCTTTATTTGCATTTCAATTTAAATACTAGTAACTGAATACTTTGCAACAAAACTCACCTGGGAAAATCCATTTGGTGATGTCACATTAGACCAAGTGACACCGTCATTGCTGTATGATACAAAATAGGTCTTTACCCATTGTGAAACTGACGTCACCCCTCGGCCTTGTAGTATAATGGCGTACACTGCTGCCTTTTTAGGTAGTTGTACCTGTAAGATATAATATAAAGCATTTATGCGATACCGTTGGCACACAACGAGACGTTACGGACAATGTGTGTTTCAAGACATGACAAGAAGCTGCATTTCAGGTACATATTATATGTATCAAATGATCCAATACCTATATTCTTTTCATCGGTAATCTAAGCAATTTTGTATGAGTTACAGGATTTAAGGATGTACACCTCTGAGAGAAGTCAAAAAGTTCCTGTATTAAACTTTTTTTTCTTATATGGATTTTTGGAAAAAGGAGTCTGTTGCATAATATTTTTATCATAATAAACATTATAAAGTTGTACAGCAAAATTGAACCTGCTACAATAAAAAATGGCGACACAATGACAATTTAAGTGATCAATCTAGTGTCAAAAAAAGTGATGTTTTTTTTTACTTTTTTGAAGCGCAAGAAAAGCACATAATACACATTTTCAAAATGGAGGCCGAATTGGTAATATTTTTAAATTCTTGTAAAACAAGTTCTACAAACAACAGACATCTAGTTTTTTGACATATTTTTCAGATGCGTGTTTGCCAATAAACTTGATCATAATTTGCTAAATATTACATATACCATTACACCAGAACAAAACGAGACTTAAACGTGATTGAAACCTCAAAAGAGAACATCCTTAAGACGTCAGTTAAGATTATAAAACATTGCATTTATCGTTTTGTACATACTTTATTGTCATTAGCGTAAACAATGGCGATTTCAATCGTTCTTGACAAAGTGTACTGTACCGACATTTATTTCACATCCGATTGCAAAACCGTTGCATTTGGGTCCTGAAGGCAAAACTTCATTATTAATACATACAAGCCATTTTTAAGTCTTCACTGATAGAAAGATACAAAGCTGATTGAGCGACATCGTGAATTTCATTTACCTTCGGCCATGATTTGTTAGTTTGGGGATTAACGTTCGACCCTGACGAGGAAGTACTGTTTTCTATAGATGATAATTTATTCATAACTATAACATGAGGTTGCAGTAAAGCAGTAATATCATGACTGCAACGTCTCTTTATGCCCAACAATTGAATATATAGTTTTGGGGTGGGTATCTCAACCATTTCGAAGTTATGACACAGGGGTCTAGTCTCCAAGGGTGGGGCAGACTCCAAGGCCATCCTGGAAGCATATGTGCATTCATTTCTTTATACTCAGCAATTGTATTATATGCATGGTTATAGGGTTGTGATCTCAACTGTTTCCAGGCTGTGACTAAGAAACTAGGTCCCTAGGGGTTCTGTCAGACCCTAGGATCTATTCTAATGCCATGACTCTAGTCAAATGTGGTTGATATCCATCTCTAAGTTCCAGAGAAGAAGTCGCTTAAATCAATATAGCACAATTGCCTACTTTTGGCCCCGCCCCTTAGGCCCCTAGGGGCCAGACCCACGGCTTATACTAAATTGGTTCCCCTTCACCTAAGGATGCTTCAGACCAATATGGATCAAATTCTTTCTTTCCTACAGAAGAAGAATTTGCTATGTTTCCACTATTCGGCCCGCCCTTCAGGCCCCAGGGGGGCCAGACCCACGGTTTGTACAAATTTGGTTTTCTTTCACCCGAAGGATGCTTCAGACCAAATATGGAAGAAATCCTTTCATTCCTACAGGGATTTTGAAGAATTTGCTATGTTTCCCCTATAGGGCTCCGTCCCTCCGGCCACTCGGGGGCAAGACCTACGGTTTATACAAATTGGTTCCCCTTTAACCAAGGATGCTTCGGACCAAATATGGAACAAATCCTTCCATTCATACAGAAGAAAAAGGATTTTAAAGAATTTGCTATATTTTCCCTATTGGGCCCAGCCCCTCAACCGCAAAGGGGGCCGGCCAGACCCACCATCTATACACAAAATAAACCCTTCCCATAAGGACGCTTCTGACCAAATTTGGTCAAAATCTGCTTAGTTGTTTATGACTAGTAGTGATTTTTAGGAAAAGTTGACGGACGGACGACGGACGCCGCGCCATGGCTTAAGCTCATTTTCCCTTCGGGCAGGTGAGCTAAAAACTGGAGACCAATTACACTACTTACTGTTATATATAAAATAGCTTCTTGAACAATTACACATAGAATAAAAAATAATCTTGGACAACATTATAGATAAGGATCAGACAGAGTTTCTCGCGGGGCGTTACATTTGGGGAAAACACATGATTAGTTTATGACTTAATGGAATTTAGTGAAGAAAATTATATCCCTGGCATGCTATTTAACGTCCTATTAACAGCTAATGTCATTTAAAGACGCCCCCGTTAAGTGTATGCGTGTGTATTTTGGGAGGCTGCCATATGCTCGTGTTTGTCTCCTTGTGATAGCGCGGAACTGATGCCGACTTCTAGTGCTACCTCATTGAAACATACTGCCGAAGACGCCCAGCAGGACGCCCCACCCGGTCACAGTTTACTGACAACCGCCGAACCAGTCGTCCCACTCCTGATTTGCTGAGCGTTAAGCAGGCTCTGGTATTTCTCGGTAAGGGGATAGAAGCCAAAGCCTCCCGCACAGGGGCGAACGCTCAACTAAAGGCCAGAAGTGAGGCATTGTCAAGGGAGACATTAGGAAGAAGAAAATTGTTTAAAAAGAAGAGAAAAGATAAAATCACAAATTAAGTCGTCTCTTACGATCATGCAATTAGGGCAGCAGGTACAATTTTTACGCCCTATCTGCAGAGACAGACATCATAGTAAACAGTGATGTCGTGGGGCTAAATTTACCTGTAACAATTGCTCTAGAAACAGTTATCGCCAAAGTTTCATCTATTATCGACAGTAACTTAAATAAAAGCCCCTCATCGACATTTTAGCCAAGAGTAGTTTCAAATCGCCAATCATGTTTTACTTTCACCATTGGAGCCAGTGGCGACCGCAAGCATGAGCCTTGGCTTGAAATGATAAAGAAAAAGAGACATTATTGAGCTTTTCTACCTAAACAATTTATTATAACATTTTTATTGGTTTAAAAAGAAAAATTACCAATACAGTCGTTGGTCAGACATAAAATATCTAAATCAATCATTTGCAGTATTTAATATAACAGTCAACTCCTTCGTGAGCCTCAAAGGTGCCTGATTCATATTCGGAACATCTTTAGGGTATATGTAATTCTTTTTTGAAATTTGGAACGGCTTTAGGTTGTATGTTATTCCTTTTTAAAGGAAATCGGTATTTGAGCTATCCAAGAGCTTGTAATTAGCGCGTGGTATATTCCGACAGAAGCAAACAAACGAACAATCTCAAAATCTGGGACTGACACCGAAATTAAAAGTCTTTTGGCCTTTAGTTGGCCTTTTGGATCTGTCGGTTGGCTGTCCTGCTGGGTGTCTTCGGCAGTATGTTTCAGTGAGGTAGCACTATACAGTCGGCATCAGTTCCGCGCTAAAAGAAGGAGACTTACACGAACATATCGCAGCCTACCAAAACACACACGCATACACTACACGCATGCATCTTGTACACAGGGGAGGCCGTCCTTAAACTCCATAGATGTTGATAGGACGTTAAACAATATTAAATCAAACCAAACCAAATCAATCGATTCATACAAAAATATGTAATCAATTTTGTATGGCTGTCGTTTTTATTCACCGTTTTTCGAAGAAAATCAGGGGGATATTAATTTCGGTCCATGAGGGATATTTATTTTGGCCCGTCTGTCACGTTTCAGTTTCCGTGCAATAAATACGCTATAAATGGTCTGGTTAAACAAACTTTGGTATGCACATACATATTGAAATATAAAAGACTAAGTTCGCTCGTCAATGTTATCTGTAAATACTTAAGCATATTTAATTACACTTAAACATTCTGCTTGGCTTATGTGTGTCCGTGAATTAAATTTGCTTATGATGGTCTGATTTCAACAAAATTCGGTGTGCAGATACATAAAAACATGTTTAAGACTAACTTTGCTCGTCAATATGATCCGTGCAAGTGAGTAATTGGTTTCTGTGCAATAACTATGCTAAATGATGGTTCTATTACACCAAATTTTAATGTGCACATGCATATAAACATGCTGCAGGCTCCATTCGTCCGTCAATGTGATCTGTGGACATTTATGTATAATTAATAACAAATCATTAATTAGTTAATCAATTATAAGTAAAGGTATTCAAAACCCTAACAATTAACGGAAACCTCTTCTTGTAAGTGGTACATGTACCTGCGTAATGTTGTAATACATCTCATTTTTAAGGTGTCCAACATTTTAAGTCTTGCTGAAGGTATGAATTTTAAAAACGATAAGGAATATTGGCAAGGGAAGCAATCCCTATACGGAATATAAATTTCCCTTCTTATGATCTAAGGGGGAACACTCTTGTAACATATCCATTTCATATGGAAAAAAATGTTTTCAGATACCCTTAACTTCTCCTCTATATATCAAATAGATGAGGACAAATAACTAAGGCAAATCTATATATGGTATCCAATGAAATCGTTGTATGCTAGAAATCTCTAGTGAAAAGTTTCCATAGTGGCATGTGTGACCAAAGAAATTTGGCCGACATATACACCGCTGAGAACTATTATAGGCTGTTATATTTTATACCATAGCTAATCCTCACCCGCCAACCATATTGAAACAGTCTGAAGACCTATTTCTAAGAAACGTTTTCTGTTTTGTCTGCTCTTAATTCTCCATGCTAGCATATCCTGTTTCAAGTAATTCTCAACAATAACGTTCCATCTTAAAGATGTCCTTTATGCGGAGGAAACGAATTCCACGCAATAGCTTTTTTTCGATCAGTCTCGAAATGAAACATACATCAGTACTGTCCATGGAAACCTACTTATGAATATGAGAAAAAACAGTGTCAAATAAAACTCTTGAGGTAGCAGTGTACAGTAGCGTAGGGTGGCCATGTTGATATTTTTATACAATGAATAACCCCTGCAATATTACATGTATACATATTATTTTTTAAATCGCACTAAAATTGGCATTTACATGATGAAGTGGACTATGCGGGCTTCATAATCTAAAAAAAAATCGAATTTGGTTTGAGACTACAGTTATAGGCATGTACAAATATGCGTATACACAAAAAAGCTAGCTTTTCATGTAGTCTATTTTTGTACCCAGCACATGTGTAAGTATTGTGAAAAATCCACCGGAATGACCTTTGCTAAAACGTGAGTATTTCTGTTACCGAGTAGGTGATATTTAATTTCAGACAGATTTTCAGAAAAAAAGTTACTACTTGCGGGGGTCAAATTTTGGATTAAAAATCATGTTATTTAGCATATTTTGATGTGGTAACCATGGTTTTCACAAGTCCCGAATCTAGGGAAAACAGTTTTTGAAAAAAGATTCAGTCTTCTAAACAAAATTTATTCAAAATGTAGTTTATAAATATATATATATATATGTAGGTGTGCAGTGCAGGTTGAATCCACTTTTTATGTTTATTTGAGACATGCCCTTTATTTTTAGGATCAGGCCATTTCTACTGTACTCTGCAACCTGAACACTCAGATATGGTTGCCTATTAGTCAACTTAGCTTTTTATCCGATCAGTGCACAACTGTAGACGAGGAGAACCTTTCTTTGTAATTTGGGGTAGATTGTTTTTGTAATTATTTTCATACAACGTATAGAAGTATCGTTTAATGACGGCCGGACAAAAAAAGTTCGAAATAAACATATTACATGCTTTTGTATTTTACCTGAATATACTGGTTAGTATCAATGATGTTGCTAACCCAGCCCTGGGAGAAAGCCGCTGTGTACAACCTGGCATATTTGGTATCGTGCGACGAAGCAAAGGAGTTGGAGGCACTGATTGCTGTTAACTGGACACCGTCAAGACCCGAAACAAGGTAGTCTGAACACACTGCCAACTCTAAAATATAGAAACGGTTGACATGTAACCTGTGTCAAAGTCGGGAAGACCATGTTGCATCTATACCGTTTAAGTCAGGGAATGATTTGGTATGTTTGATTTCGGTTTAATATGTGCTCAAAATAGGTATTTTTACTCGGTATTATAAAGGCGGTGTTCGCGGATAAAGGGGCCAATTTAAAGTGATATTTCACAGAAATGACATGACGTGGACTTGGTATCATGATTGTTTGTTTTTGTGTTTGTATTGTTTAACGGCCAATCGGCAAATTGTATTTTAACGAATTGGCAAAATAAATGATCTGGAGAATTAAACAGCATGTTATTTGCAATTCAAACTAATTTTGGTACATGTGCAACAACTATAAAAAATTGTCCTTTCGCGACTGCGAGTAGGCCATACCTAACACACACATGGCTACATTTTGCGAAAGGAAGACCAGCCTTATTGTCATGCATGCGATCAACCATTTACAGTCAAACACTTTATGATTGAATGTGCTGATTTCAAACAAATAGTTGACAAATTTTATGATGTACCGTCTATAATAATAGTATCTAATACAGTTTCTGTGCAATAATATATGACTATTTATAGTCTATTGATCTTCACAATAAAATATGATATATTGTGTAGCCAATTTGTTAGATATTGGTGTATTTCTTTAATCCGTTACATATGTTAAGCTATTCAGTTTTGGTTTGATGTGTTTACTTTCGTAAATGTCTCTTTTTACAGTGTTGTTGACCCTAAATGACTCACATTGTCGACATTCAACTAGTCGCATTATTCAGTGTTGCAATGGGGGCAGCAGATCAATTTTAGTCTCTTCAAAAACCGAAATTGCTCTGAGGCCCCACATAAGTCGCATTTTACAATACACATGCAGTAGGATACAACATGTACATTCTTGATTTATTTCATAAACAAGGAAAACACCACCCAAAGTTCTGCATCCCTACGTGTATTGTATGCGTGCTTGTGTGTATGTGTTTTGGAGACAGATGCTAGATCTGATGCTGACTTTAGGGTGGAAACACCTGCAGATTCGAGGATTTGACCTCTATAAGGTGGCACAAAAGCGGCAAAAATAAATTTGTTGCACCCATCGAAATTCTTTGGATCTTTGATTTTCTTCATACTGTTGACTACCTTTTGTTTCCTAGCGCCCCCCCCCCCCCCCCCCAAAAAAAAATTAATAGTGGGATACAGCAGATTTATTCTTTTCCCCGAACGTACAAATGAAAACCTGTTGCAAAATGCAATTCACAAATCTCCATTATCAATCAATTTTTAATGTTAATTTTATAATAAAACATACAAAGGTTCTAGAACATGGATGGCACTTAAAATTCAATGTGAACCTTGAGTGACACAATCGATTGTTCAGTATTTATTGGAAATTGCAAAAAAAGATTTCCCAATATGTTCTTATTAAAATATGAAAACATTTCTCTGTGTCACAGCAAATGAACTGTCTTTCGGTGAAAGAAGAACAAAATTATGTCAACAGTTTGTTTACCAGTTAAAATAAAATCCAGAAAATCCAGCTTTCTAATCAGTATTTTATCCAACTTATACACGCATTGTCGAACAAAATGAGAAATTGATTCCATCTTTGGGCGTACGGCTTAAAAAATAACTGGAAAAATTAGATTTAAACCCTTCATTAATAAAAATTGCTGATATTCCACAATGGACAGTTCGGCTTCCTGAATTAAATTAAGACTTGCACAATCATATAGAAAATCTTGTACTATCCTGGTTTAATCAAGAGCTCTTTTTCATAGTACATTTTACCAATTGTTTCACATGCATTTCTATATACTGGCGGCTCTAACGTTGTAGAGAAAGTTGCAACAGCATGTGTTGTCGGTAACATATCTTCTTCTTGCCGTTTACCCGATAATGCATCTTTTTACAGCTGAGGCAACTGCCGTTGGTCTGGCTTTGGATGAAATTGAAAAGGATGAATTTAAAAAATGCAATTATCTGCTCGGAGTCACTGCTTAGAATTAAAATTCGGAACTTATAACAATTTTCTCATTCAAAACATTGCTCTTCGTAACAGGATTTTAGTGTTCTGAAACCTGATAATCATATGAATACCCGGCAATGTCGTAATAATATTGTGAAAATGAGAAAGGAGATAGATAGATTTGCCAAATCAGCTCTTAACCTACATCCAATATATATTGAAATACCGTGTAGCTGTTTCAAACCTTTAATCACAAATTGTTTTAAATCAATTGGCAAAATAAAAAGTTTGAAAAAAATAACAACAAATTATTCGTAATTCAACAAGATTTCGGTTCATTTGCAACAAGAAGAGCAAACTATAGAGGCAGTTGTCCTCTCCCGACTGCGCATAGGCCATAACTACATCGCACAGTTACATTTTACGTAAAGAAATGCAACCTTATTGTCATGCATGTGATCATCTATTTACAGTCAAACATTTTATGGTTGAATGCGCTGTTTCAAACAAAAGCTTGACAGATTCTATAATGTATCGTGTACGAAAAGTGTATTTCTGTTCAATCAATATGTGATTATTTACACTCAATTGATCGTTATGATCAGATCTGATATAATTTGCCACCAATACGTTCCCTGTTGATATATTTTTACAATTGAACACGTGGACACTGCTAAAGTTTTGTTTTAGTTCCATGTATTCATTTTTATAATTGGCTTTTTTAACGTGTTGTTGGCCCTAAATGGCTTGCACTGTCAATGGACCGTGAAACAATAAAAAAAAAAAACCAATGATTGATTTACACTAATTCAATATGCAGTCGGTCAATACGATGACGTCCTTTTACTTGGCAACTTGTGGATGAAACTAATGAATCGAAGTGCCAAATTGATTTTACGTTTTGAATTGTTTAACAGCCCATAGCCAAAGGGGAGGCGGGTTCCATAATGGTGAAGTGTAGACCTAAACCTTATCACAACAAAATTACCCATTAAAATTCAAATGAGTACTTGGTTTGCTTTTCGTAGAAGCATAAAACTGAAATTCCCAAAAAGCTGAGAGTTTTCCCCAAAAGACGAATATTATCGAACTAACAATGCACTGAAGGATCATTTATGATGCAACCAAAACTAGGGATCATATACTACAGTATACATATAAAAATCCCTTGCTTTGGTTAGTTATCAGATATGTACAGACAATTCAAAAGCCAGAAGCCATCAAATATGTTCATCTTAGATTAAAAGTATCATATTACTTTAGTATACCAAAGATATTTTGGTTATAGATGGACTAGGTCCTGAACTACCAGTGACAAAAATATCAATCCAAAATATATGGTGGAGCATATTCAAAGAAGGGATCAAACGACTATGTGATCTATAAATCAAAATCCATGACTATATGTATAGTCTAATCATTAGGATTGAAAACTGACAGAAAAGAAGAAAAGAATTGTTCTAGTTTGGATGGAATGAGTATTTAATCAACAGAAGATGTTTGGAAAAGATTCAATGTTTGATTCCTTTTCAAGATGGCCACCAAAACATTAATTTTACTAACCAATCAGTTGTCAGATTCATAGACAACTATCAATGGAATTCAGAGATTGTGTGTTGGTGTGTTACTTTGTTTTCATATACATATTAAAGCTAGACGCCAAATTAACAGCTGATGACATTTACAGATGATGTTTTGCAAGATGCAAGAGTATGAAATGTGTTCGAATAGCAGACTTGGAAAAAAGATGCTTTGAGTTTGTTTTCAAACTGGTGATTCTAGATTCACAAGAAAACAATTGATTTCAAGCTTTGTCGGAACGCTTTAACCCTTAGGTTCAAATGTTATGGATTTTGAAGATTGCTATGATAGTTTAGTTTGGTTTGGTTTAATTTTGTTTAACGTCCTATTAACAGCTAAGGTCATTTAAGGACGGCCTCCCCTGCGTGCAAGATGCATGCGTGTAGTGTATGTGTGTGTATTTTGGGAGGCTGCGATATGTTCGTGTTTGTCTCCATGTGATACCGCGGAACTGATGCCGACTTTATAGTGCTACCTCGCTGAAATATACTGCCGCCGAAGATAATAAAATATACTTGATGTAGGAGCACACATTCCAATAATTCCTTGACCAACTTGGCATTGGCAGTAGTGATCTTTTATTGGATTATTATCATTAAGTGTCGTGTACTGAATCCAGACATTATATTCAGTCATGCTTTTGTGTTTGGAACAAATCTGACAACGAATGAGGTCTTGAGAGTGCTGATACACCCATATTTCATAATCTTTACTAATTCTAACTTTGCTTTCTTGGAGAGAGCTAGTTGTTTTCACCCTCTTAGCCAAACAGTTTGTTTTTGTAAGTAGAAACTTCTTTTGATGTGCATGTTCGCTGTCTTTTCTGTCAGTTTCCGGTGATCTTTGATAAATTGGTCTCAATATCCAATCGAGACATGCAGTCACAATCTTTAGCAGTTCCTCAATTATATCAATGAAGCAATTTGTTATATATTGAGTTCTAAAATGTACCCAATGCTTAAGATGGCCATGATACTATCCATCAGGATTTAGTAACTGTTCTATCAATGTTAGCCTGTATATCAGAGTGTTGGCTCTGACCAGTCTTAAGATATGAGGGCATACTAGTATTAATACCAGATGCCTCTTAACATTGGCAGTACATTTCTAAAGCGACGATCAACGACTACATTGTCGTCTTGCACCAACCATGTGAGCTTGTTCATGATTTTTATTTGAAAAGCTTGCATCATTTTTCCAGAGAATGGTCCTACTGTGAATTTAAGATAATATAGTTACGCTCCTTCTGGCCACCGTAAGACATTATCTGAAGCTTATGGTCATCACTTTTTTTAATATAAATATATGTACCATCTATTAAGGCAATCACTTTATCTCCAAAGAATGTTTCTGACAATAAAGTGTTGTGTGAAAGTATAT